GGGACGGGGAGTGAGGTGCGCGCGAGGGGGACGGGGAGTGAGGTGCGCGCGAGGGGGACGGGGAGTGAGGTGCGCGCGAGGGGGACGGGGAGTGAGGTGCGCGCGAGGGGGACGGGGAGTGAGGTGCGCGCGAGGGGGACGGGGAGTGAGGTGCGAGCGAGAGCATGACTACATGTGGGGGACAGTGAAACTCAGAGAGAGATAGTGCGACTAGGACAGTGAACGTGCCTGAACAAGGTGGACACTACAATATTTTCGAGAGTACGGAAGTCAGCAAGCAGTACCGCACATACCTTTAACCTGATTGGATGCTCCAGCCTGACATGTGGGCTGCTCAGCCTCTGTCGGTTGGACAGAGGAGTCGGGCTGGCTGGGAGTGAGGAAGGGAACCAGCGAGTGCCAGGGAAAGACAGGGACGGAACGTGGTTCCACATTGGTCCAGACTGTTAGGAGGAATGGAGCAATCAGTACAGGCCCGAAACCACAGAGCGAAGCAGCAAACAGACAGCGAGTAAGGCAGCTTTTACCCAATCACTAATGCAGGCAGGTCTGAGACAGACCTGGGGGTATCTGTCCCAGAGATGTCTGCTCCAATTCAGTTCCAACAAAATTACTACCAACAAAATCTCACACAGTCCCGATTTACCACACATTCACTGTCACATTCACACAGCCCCAATCCAACACACATTCATGGCCGGAAAGTGGATATTGCCGGTTGGGCCAGTGTTTCTTGCTATTCGGAGCCGGAACTTGAGAAGGTTGTGGGGATCAGTCGGATAGAGTGACAGACCTATCCCCCACCGGTACTGTACCCCAGTGTTATACAGTGACAGACCTGTCCCCACCGGTACTGTACCCCAGTGTTACACAGTGACAGACCTGTCCCCACCGGTACTGTACCCCAGTGTTACACAGTGACAGACCTGTCCCCACCGGTACTGTACCCCAGTGTTACACAGTGACAGACCCGTCCCCACCGGTACTGTACCCCAGTGTTACACAGTGACAGACCCGTCCCCACCGGTACTGTACCCCAGTGTTACACAGTGCCCAGCTCCTCTGGTGGGACATGAGAGTTGCTATCTTCACTGCGTTTGCTTACAATCCAACAACAACATTCATCGAGACGACACCCTGACATGCTGAGAGCACTCCAAGTCCATTAATATTCATACTCACAGCGGGCCTGTGCCTTTTCCCAGGTTATTTTAAACTGTGTCTTTTGACGAAACACAGCAGGCTGCGAGCACACAGCAAGCTCCCACGAGTGTCAGTCGGTGATTGCTTTGAGCCGATGCCCACTGAGGGCCCGGAAGCCAGGACGGCGGGGTGTCCTCGAAGCTCCGTTGTGTGTTGTTCAGAATGGTAGCTATGGGATAAGTGGGGTCAATAGGACCTTGATCAGATGGGCCAATGGGCCGAGCAGTGTCAGATGGAGTTTAATTTCGATAAATGTGAGGTGCTGCATTTTGGAAAGGCAAATCAGGGCAGGACTTATACACTTAATGGGAAGGTCCTGGGGGGTGTTGAAAGTGGAGTTGCAGGTACATAGGATAATGAGGAAGGTGTTTGGTACACTTGCCTTTGTTGGTCAGTGCATTGACTATAGGAGGGTCATGTTGTGGATGTACAGGACATTGGTTAGGGCCACTTTTGGAGTATTGCGTTCAATTCTGGTCTC